TATTTTCTGTATTAACTGTGAATGAATAGAACAAAATAAATTGCCTGTGATGGGAAAAAAAAATACAGAATAAAGGGATGAGACTAGCTAAGTTTTTGGACATTTGACTTTAGGAGAAGTGACCATGTTGCTTCTTTTAATAGAAAATGTATGGATAGTTCCTATGGAAAATAATAGAATGATTCTACCTAAAAAAATGACTTAAAAAACTGTAGCATTCATTCTTGCTTTGTCAGCACATATAGTGAAATTGGAATGATACAGAGAAGATAAGCACGGTCCTTGTAAAGGATGACATGTATATTTGTGAAGCAGTCCATTTTTTTCACAGAGGAGGGAACATGGGGAGACTGGGAGGAGAAGGGGGAAATGAAACCATAATCAGAATGCATTATGTGAGAAAAAAAATTTTTCAATGAAAGGAAAAAATTAAGCATTCAAAAACAATAGAGATTAAAATGTTTATGATGTTCTACAATTTATAAAAGAAGGGGGACTTTTAAATGTGAGTGGTTAAATATCTCAAATGTATATCAAATAATACGAAACCACATTCAAATGCTGCATCGTCAATATTAACCACATAATTGCAAATTTCCTAACAGTCCCATAAGAGGACGTCAATAAGTCAGAACCAGGAAACTGAGAGTCGTCGCACTTGAAGAGCCACAGTTACTGGCGTGCCAATGGCAATACTCTTTCTATTCTTTGAAAATTTGATTTTTTAATAATTTTGTTTAAATATAGCTTACTATGACGATAGAAAATGAGACGGCATTAATATTGAGAAAATGATGGTACGAATAATCATTTCAATTTCACATTTTTATGTGATAATCTTCAAATGACTGATCTGTAATATATAAAAATCAATTCTTTTAAAAACAATTATTTTAACATGCCAGCAACTTTTTTATTTTTTTGTGTCTTGCTACTTTTAAGATTATAATATACTTATATTATAGCATATTCTCCCTTATACCCCCATCCCTTGATCTCTTTCAAATTTATGCCTGTAAAAAAATGAACTGCTGTCACTTTCATACATGTCTATGTATATAAATATACTCCTGAATTGAACTGCTCAGTCTGTGTAATGTTGCAGTACGTTTCTTTCGCGGGCTGACATTTGGGTCTGGATAACCCATTGTGCTCTTCCCTGAGGAAGACTATTTCTCCTGCTCTCAGCATTCCTTAGTTGCCTGCATTGCGTTCTGTAGGGCTGAGGGCTTGTGTGATTTTCCCTGTGACAAGCCTATTAATGTCATCTTTTTCAGCTCATTTTTAGGCGGTCAGATTGGTGAGACTTTCGGGGTGTAGCTTCTGACGTCATTAGGAGACAGAATCTCCCAACAAACTCCCTGATCCTCTGCCTTTTACTATCTTTCTGTCCTCTCTCCCGCCATGTCTCCTGGTCCTTAGGAGAGATAGTGTGTTGTAGGTCTATCCACTGGGACTGGGCTCCAGGACCCTGTGTTTTGATCCGTTGTGGTTTTCTGTAGTGTCCTCCTTCCGTTTCATAGAAAAGTTTCCTTGATGAGGGCTGATTCCTCCCTTTGTGTGTGTGTGTGGGGGGGGGGGTGAATTGTCATAGTGTAAGGAAAATCGAAATATCGAAATGTTGATTACGTGTGGATTTTCACGAACAAAAAGGAGAATTCGCCACGCAGTACTGATCTGAGGCAGACAGAAGAGGAGCACCACTCAAATCCAGAGCTCACGGAAGAAAGAGCTGTCACATATTCCTCCACTTGACAGCTTGCCAAGACACTTTAGCAGCCTGCAAAAAAATGAATAGTTTATCTACCAAAGGCTTTATTGTTTCCTTTTCACTTCATTAAGGAACAAGGGAAAGAAGAAACTCAGGTGTATTTTGTCTGTAAGAATCTTATCTGAATACAAATAAGCTCCAGTATTGGTGAGGAGTTACAGGTATAAAAGGGAATAAAAAGGTAGCGAAGAGGACGGCAGAGGGCAACTGTACCTTAGATACAAACGGGAAAAACACACAGCAATGCAGAGGAAAAATTACATTTGATTCATGGCATTTAGTGTTGACCCAATGACAAGGTCGAGTGCTATGCACTGAGTGTAAAATTAATGTCAAGTCCAAATGGGCTTTTCGCGTTTGGACGGTGCTTACTAATGTGAAGCATTTTAAAACAAAGCCATCAGCAACACTTGGGAAAGACAATTCTAAAAGGAGAAGTAATTCATGTCATTTATTTCAAGAGGAAAAATAAACCATTTAGAGTGAGAGTTTCATTTCTGCATTTAATTTTCAAGAATAAGACTAAGATGCACACAAAAGTTGGATGAATATCAATAATTATTTCAGTTCATCTGAAACCAGAATAGTAATTCAATTGTGTTGAGACTAAATCGAACACTTTTCTGTTGTTTTTTTTTATAAAAACACCTTTTCTTTAATGTTCAAAACTTAACCAAAATAGCACATTGTCTTAAAAAGAAACTGATAAACAGTGTAACTTATATTAATAATATTGATAGTAGATGAGAGGCAGGTCTCCAGCCAGGACTGTACTGCCCATTTTCCAGATAAAACTCAGGATGTGTCATCAGCTTTTTATCTAGAAGCAGCAGAAATGATAGGAAACACTTGTGTATGGACATGAAGCGAACTGTTTGTACTTTCTCTGGCTTCTTTTTGTCAGGGTATTACTGAATTCAGAGAACTTAGAGACACCAAAACTGAAGAACTCTGTAGTCCCTGAAATCACTCCTTGTGAGCATCTCTTCAAGCCGCTAGGAGAATTAAAGTTAGACAACTCGATTTTGTTTTAATTTTATTTGAGGAGACTAACTAATACAGTTGTTTGTATAATCTGTGGTAAGTAGCTTTCAATAGTCAATATCCAAAATGGTTTTGAAGTGTATTACAATATGCCATTAATTGTGAAAACTTTAAGAAGTAGTAATCTCACCGGGCGGTGGTGGTGCACGCCTTTAATCCCAGCACTCGGGAGGCAGAGCCAGGCGGATCTCTGTGAGTTCGAGGCCAGCCTGGGCTACCAAGTGAGCTCCAGGAAAGGCGCAAAGCTACACAGAAAACCCTTTTTCTAAAAAAAAAAAAAAAAAAAAAAAAAAAAAAAGTAGTAATCTCTGCTTTCATATTAACTAACCACAATTCATGGTTGTGCATCAAGAATATCCACCACAAATGCAGATTCAATGAAACGTAGAGTCAGATTTCATGTTGAATTCTTTTATAGCCAAACTGGAGAACGAATTCCTTGGTTTATATATGCAGAGCAACATCAATATAGGCAAAGAAATTTTGCTTCATCCAGTTACACAGAAAGAAAATAAATCCAGGATACAAAGTTAGAAATAAAGATCATGGCAAGAATAGAGAGCAATGAGTCCACAACTCACAGACTCGAGGTGCAGAGCTTCAAAAACAGCTTCTTTACAACCTCAGCCTCAGTCACATTTCAGAAGTTTCATCGTCTTCCCTGGCTTTTCCAGGAAGCAAAAGTTTCATTCTTGTGAACCTACTTTCTTTAAGGCCATGTTTATTGTGAGTACCCACCAGTGTTATTCATGACATGAAGCTTGAAGTGTGAAAATATACAGGTGTTAATCAAGTTTATAATTTTATCTATGTTCTCTCCAAGATACTGTTTCTGAAAGTAGATCAATATATTTTATTATGAACCCCACACAAAGGAATTTTGAACTGAAGTTTAGTACACTAGATACATTTATTACTGAACTGTTTTTAAATACAAGCAACATAATACTATGCATTAGTTAATTCTTATATGTTATGGTAATAGACAATCATCATTGGGGTATTGAAATTAATATTTTCTAATAGTGGTGTATTGAACTAATATTTAACCAACAACCCATATGAATAATAGATGACATCCTATTATGTTATAAATAAAATAAAAATTTGCATTAAAGTATGCATTAAATCCATAGTATAACTATATGAAAATGAATGTGATGTAGTTATCCTTTAAGACATGGCAGTAGTGGCTGTAGATAAAGAGGATGTACCAAGTATAAGAAGAACCTGGGACATTTTTTTATATTTTACAAATGAATGTAACCTAGTCACTTTTTTTTTTCTTCTGGAAAAGTTAATTGTCTTTGTCAGTGAAAGGAAGAAGTACAATTTATTAACTTCCCATGAGGATTATAACTGCTCTTCTTTCTTCTTTGGGATCCTGATGTGTTTTAAGACTCAGGAAACTTTTATGTGTGTGAAAGATGTACAAGACTTGTGTGGTGATGGAAAAAAGTGTTTCACTCTTAATAAACTAAAAGAACTACATAGGTAGAGCAGAGAGAAGTTAATGAGTTTGTATATTGATGAATTAACAATTAAATTTAAGAAGTTTGGATGAACTGGCTCTTTAACAACATTCTTAAATCTATTGTTAATTTTTTCAGTTTTTTTTTTCAAGACAGGGTTTCTCTTTGTAGTTTTGGTGCCTGTCCTAGATCTCAGTCTGTAGACCAGGCTGGTCTCGAACTCACAGAAATCCACCTGACTCTGCCTCCTGTGTGCTGGGATTAAAGGTGTGGGCCAATGTCACCCGGATTTTTTCAGTTTTTAAATGAAGTGATTTGATGACTCAGCTTCGCTAGCATGGTAAATCAAAAGCAAAATGTTTATAAAGTATCTGCTTTCTTCATAAATGAGAATGGGGTGTATATACATTATACAATGTCTAGTGTTGTCAGTATCAGTAAGAGAAGGAATTCCTTATTGCGAGGTTTCAACTTGAACAGTTTCAGAAGATTCCTGATTAGGTGCCAAGACCTTGGCTTATGCCTTGGAAAGGAATATAAGTTAATATAAAACATAGGTGGAGTTTATGAAGCAGAAATTATTAATTGTGGAATTTATTAAGAAAAATTATGTATACTTAGACTTTCCAACAGGCAGGGTGAGGTGGAGAGAGAGGGGAGACAGAATTCTCATCTGCTATAAATAAAAAGGTCACCATGCAATTTGTGGGTAAATGGATAAAACTCAAAAGTACTATACTGAGTAAGGCAACCCAGACACAGAAAGACATATGTGCTGCTTGCTATTGTAGATCATGTTTCCCAATCCTTAGTTACCTGCAGCAATTGAAGAAACCAGAAAAAATGAAAGGGGACATGAAATTGCTAGGACGTCTAGAGAGGGAAATAGTAGGACACAGGTACTATGAAATGGGAAATCAGAAATATGGAGGTATTTAACTAGAAAGATAGAGGGAAGGAAGTACAGAGGGAGAGGTAGGGATGGTGAATAACTAACACTAAAGATGTTTGAAAAGGCCGTAGTGCCTCAACCTTACAC